ACCGTATTACTGGTATTGTTAGGATGCCAAATGCCCTTACTTGATTAAAAAAAAAACTTCAATACAAGCCCTGTCAAAATCTCCACATGCTTCTTTATACAAATAGGTAAGCTGATTACATGGACAAGCAAAAGACCTAGAATAGCCAAAAGGATTTTGAAGGATAAGCGTGAAGAACTCACACTACCTGGGTTCAAGAATGACTTACTATTTAGCTAGGAACCAGGTATGAAAGACAGATAAATGGATACATGGAACATAGTAGATTTCAAATATAGATATTATTTATAGCAAAGTACAAAGAGAATTCAGTGGAGAATGGAGAATTTTTCCAATAAAAGTTGTGGAACAAGTGAACATTCAAATGCAAAATAAAGTAATCTTGAGCTTCACCTCAAAACACCATGTTTAAAAAAAAAATGTAAAACCCAAAACTTTAAAATACATAGTGTAGGAGAAAATCCTTGTGATGTTAAGATTAGGCAAATACTTTTTTAGATAGACCACAAAATACATTAACTGACAGAAAAAAAAAAAAACATAAAACTAAAGGTTTCCCTTCCAAAGGTACCACTAAGAATAAAAAAAGACAAGGCACAGGTTAAGGAAAAAATGTTTGTAAAACACATACCTAATAAAAGACTTGTATCTACAATGTATAAAGAACACTTACAACTCAGTAAGAATGGAGCCCAATGTTTAAAGTGGTCAAAGATATGAAGAGATACTTCACCAAAGAAGATGTCCAGGTGGGAGATAAGAACATGAAGAGAAACTCAACATCATGTCATTAGAGAAATGCAAAAAAAAATCACAATGAGATACCACCACCTAACTATTAGAATGTCTAGGAATTTTTTTCAAGTAGATAATACAAGTAGTAGTAAGATTGACTTAACTGGAATGCCCATATAATACTGTTGGAATGTACAATAGTACCGTCAACTTGAAAGCAGTTTAGCAATTTCTTATAAAGTCAAACCCAGACTTACCATACAACCCAGCATTCCTACTGCTAGGTATTTACCAAGATAAATCAAAATATATGTCCATATGTCCATACAAAGATTTGTAAATAATCATAAATAAATGTCCAGTTCAAAAACTGGACACTCAAATGTCCAGTAGATGGATAAGCAGTATACCAATACAATGAAATATTATTTAGTAGTAAAAAGAAATGCACTCCAGATATATTCAACAATATGGATGACTCTCAAAATCATATGGTAAAAGAAAGAAGTCAATCACTAAAGGGAATATACAATTTGATTCCAATGTGTGTGTGAGAGAGAGAGAGAGAAAGAGAAAGGGACATTTCTAAAAAAGACAAAGCTACAAGACACAAAAATCAGTAGTTGCGGGGGGCTTTGGCACTCTGACTACAAGCTCCCATAAGGTAACCTTCGGCAGTGATTATCCTGCATTTTGAATTGGATGGCGGCGACATGACTATATGTCAAAACTGATCAAATTGCTCCCTAAAAAGAATGAATTTTACTATGTAAAAGTATACTGCAATAAATCCGAAGTTAAGAGAAAGTAACCTGCGTTATTGATCATGGGGCAGGTATGCATATGGGACAGATAGGAGATCAAATACCCTCTCCACAACTTTTCTATGAACCTAAAACTATCTGAAAGTGTAAAGTAAATGCACTGACAATATATCTCATAATGAGATGAGAGTATTGTAGTTCTTGAATTAAAGGAGATGTTGATGATTAAAAAAAATAATAAAGAAATGACTGTGTCACCAAAGCCTGAAAAACTGCCCCTGGGGAGGCAGCTTGATCAAGGAAAGCTAGCTGTGTGACTGGGCAAGTTACCTGATATCTGAGGCGGCTCAGTAAAGTCTGCATAGTGACAGTACCGCCCTATGACTGTGATGGTTTAATGAGAAAACGTACAATCTGATAATCCGCAAGGTGATCATTTCTCTCAGAAAACCCCACTGCCTCACACCCACAGTGGCAGACTCACTCAGTTGAGAAGCAGGTGGGCAATACAACTTTACATCATGTAAGGATTAGAGGAGGGGAACAAAAAAGGCAAGTGGCAATGAGGTCTTTTTTCATTCCTTCAACAAATTCAAATAAAGCAATGGTTCCAGTCACTTCCTCAGGCAAGATGCCCAAGAATATAAACATTTTCGTTCTAAAAATAAACGGCTCCTAAGGAGTAGAAGTGACAGAAGGCAGTTTTTTCTGAAACAAGAGATGGACTCTTCTTAACTGTAGGTTCAATCTCCAGGAGGCATTGGGGGACGGTGGGGGGGTGGGGGCAGCGGGCTTAGTCCAGGTTCAGAAACAAACTTGGCTTTGATTTTCAAAACTGTCCTTTTTGTAGATCTATGGGGTAATTAGAAAATTAGATGTAAGAGGCTAACGAGGTTCCTGGGTATATTCTGCACACAAAGAAATGAAACCAGTTTTGCATCCTTTCCTTAGCTCCAGAACCTCCTCCCCCAAATGAAGAGCATATAGGATGAGAAACTCAATTTCCAAAGAGAAAAGTCACAGGGACACACAACAAGGCGTGGTGGAAGCCAGGGAGGTAAGAGGGCTCCTCCATCTCAAGCCACAGCACACCTAGAATCAATATCCTTAAGACACAAGACATGAAAATCCAGACCATAAAGGTGTGATTCAAATCAAAAGGAGATGAGGAGACAATTAAAAGCCTTTGGGACAAGTGACTCAAAAATTGTGATACAAACAAAACAGGATTGTAAAGCAGAACTCATAAAGTACTTAAAAGAAATAGGGAATTCTTTTCAATCTCACGGTAGGGAGAATATGTCTAACCATGATGAGAAGCCTAAGCCACAGAGCAAAAGATAGATCAATTTGACTACTTAAAAGCTGTTCTGTGGGGTTCAAAAAAACTGGTATGAACAAGTTTAGAGACAAACTTCATATTAAGAAAAAAATTATCTAAAATATATACAAAGGTGTAACCACTTTTAAGTACAAGAAGCTCTATAAACCACTGGTTTTTATAAATGCAGTCCAACAGAAAACTGAGTAAAGAAAAAAAAACAAAAATGCAATTTTTCACCCAAAAGAAATAAAAGTGCCAATAATCATATGAGATCAAGGTTAACCTCACTCACAATTAAAGAAATGCAAGCTAAAACAAGATCTTTCAAAGGTGATTAACACAAATGCCTTCAGTAGTAAAAGAGTAGAAATTATTTCAAAGTCCACCAATAAAGGAAGTTAAAGAAGCACATAAATAAAGCTAAATAAATACATCAGTATAATATCTATTACAATTTAAATGTGATTTCTACCATACTGATAAAATTAAAAGTAGTCTGTAGCACATGGTTGAGTAGGAGAAAAAAGATTTCAATCTGTGTTGCAAGATTCCATTTACACAAAGTGTACATTTTCATATACTTATGAAAAAGGGCACAAACATATGTCTGGGAAAAGATTCACTAAAATGGCATTGACTGCCCTGGGTGGGAGAATTTCAGGCGATTTTACTTTATTTTAAATTGCATGATTTGTTAATAATCTACATATATGTGTAATTAAAGAATGTTACGTTACTTTCATTTTTTTAAATGTGGAGAAGTTTCAACAAAGCAAAAGCTGTCACCGGGCTGTGAGGCAAATGGTTAACAACCAGACCAAGGCCCTTGCCCTGAGGCTGACCCTCTAACCAGCACTAGCCCAGGGGAGGCAGACAGGGAGGTAAACACTCTCAGGCTAACCAGTCTGAAGCCAGGCACAGGAGGGGATGGCTTCGGAGAACAGGCTTGGAGAGTGAGAAAGATTTCACTTCAATTGTTTGTTCTATTACATTAGCTGGATTGACCTCAGGCAAATCATTTACTCTCTCTGAACCTCATTTTCCTCTCTGTAGGACTACTGTCTCTATCTCACAGGGTTGCTGAAAGGTTAAATAAGACATATATGTGATGCCCTCGCTGCTTAGCACATAATAACCACTCAAAGAAAGTGAGCAGCTTTTTTTTTTTTAATTATCTGAGGCATGTGTAACCTTCCTTCACACGGCAATCACTCTGTTCTGCAGTGTCATGGAGCATAGTGGAGAGAGAACTGCAAACCTCAGAGAATCCAAACATCTGTTCTTGGACAAAACATGCTTCCCCACCCCTGTGAAACCCTTCCTGGAAACAGCAGGCGAGGAATATGACAGTCAGCCAGAAAGAGGAGGCCAGGAGGAGAAGCAAAGGCCCAAGTAATTTCCGGGTACCGCCTACAGTGTGGCCCCTGAGCCAGCAGCGTCCCACCTCTCTCCTCCCCTTTCCACCCACAGTTCCTCTGGGTTAGCTGGAAGCTTCCCCCAGACATCATATGTTCGGATCCTAGAAACACTACTCGAATGCCAAGCAGGAAAGACTTTATGTGTTAGCTAATGCAGCAGCCTTCACGCTGCAGATAAAGAACCTGAGGACCAGAGATGGGAGGAACTTGCAGAAAAGCAAAGTTGTCACCACCCAGCATAAACCTGATCATGGAGTGCCCTCCTTTGCTCAGCCTTCCTGTCCCTAGCTGCCCCTCACCAGGTCCCATTTCCTTCACCTGCCTTATCATCTGTCAGATTCCTTAAGGCTCCTTTTCTCCTTGGGCAGCCCTAATCGTCCTTTATGGCTCTGTGATGAAGGAAGGAACCCAAGCAGTACTGTGATGGCGATTGCTAAGACCCACACAGCCACTCCTCTGCTTCCAGTGGCAATACAGCCCAAACCACCATGTGAAAAAGAAAAGAAAGGAAAGAGCTCTGAGTTATTCTCAAGCCTCCCTGATGACGCTGGAGGTTACCTTGAAATTCTTAGGAAAGGAAGACCCTGGAAGAGAGGAACCAGCAGATTCGAGAGGAACCAGCAGACTCCATCTCCTAGTTGAGAAATGCAACCAAGATGCAGAGCAGCGACAGGTGAGGAAAGTGCTGGAGGCAGGAGTGGAGGGTCCCTTGCTCAGGACACAGTCCTGACTCTTGGCAGTCACTGGGCTGCGGCTTACCTTGGGCAGGCTTACTGGAGTTCTGGGCTTGGTCCTTGGGTTCTTAATCAAGAGCCTCTGATCCAAAGGGAGCAGGTGGTATTTCATGGCCTCGATCAGGAAGTCTTTACAGGTGTTGTTATTCTTTATCAAAGCTTCTTCTTCGACTGTCTGGAGGTAATAACCCACAGGTGATCCTGGAGCAGAGCTCTTCCGTATTTCCCAAGCTGTCTCCCGGGGATGAGTTATTATTGGATTCCCACACGCCTCAATTCCCACATCACATTGTCTCAGATCCCAAGACTTGTTACAACATAGCGCCTACCTCTCACGGCTCAAAAGCACAGTAGACTAAGTGCTCAAGTCTGGCATCAAACAGACAGGGCTACAAACCTCACCTCTACCACTTACCTTCTCTAATTCTAGTTTGCTCCTCTGAAAAACAGGTATATTAAAGTGCCCTACAATGTCACTGGTTGTGTCTGTTAGTTTTGAGGCTTCAATGAGATTATGAGAAATGAAGACCATTCGTTGTCCTGAAAGCCTCTTTCTACACTTCTGACTTGAATGCCTTAGTAACGTTTACAGCACAGGGTCAAACATTTGAGAGAAGAGAGAAAGGAAGGGGAAGAGTAGAATGTATCAGCCAACCTTTGGAGACATTGAGTACAAAGAGGGAACAGTCAACTAATTCATACACATTTTCGTACAGTCTAAGCCTCCAGGAGAAGCCAGTGGTAACAGCAGAAAGGATGTAGTGCCAAGAGTCCCATCTACTGACTTTATGCTGAACCTGTGTTAAGCTGGGAATCTGGCTTTTCTGCCTCCTAGCAGGTCCTTAGCAGTTAACCTAAATGTTGCATGAGTCAGGCCCAGGTCAGAGTACTTTGTGGCAGATCTGAAGGGGTGCTGCAGTCTTCAGAGGCCACTTCTTGTATTTGGGAGTTGGTGGGGAAGGTGAACTCCATTCAACAGCTACACTGACTAGATGTCTCCTCAGTGGGCAGCCCCTAGCTTAGCCCCCAACTAAACTACAAGATGAAACAGTAAACAAGGCAAGGATTCTAAACCCAAGCAGCTCAGGTCATCAGAGACTGGGAGGGATCCCCCCTCAATTACCTCAACCCTCAGCCCCCATCAAGCGCAAAACCAGGCTGAGCTTCTCTGGGCCCCACTGTGTAACTCGGAATAAGAGTGGCCAGGCTGACACCTACTGCACACCATTGGTGCTGGCAAGCTGAGAAGAGCTGGCTTCAGGAGAGGGCCTCTGTCACCTCTGAAACCTCCTTCCCAGCGATGATGCCCAAGAATACTTCATTTCCTTGAAAAGTTTTCTTTTATCCCCTCCTAATAGGGACTGAGACAGGCTAGAATGAACCATAAACTTTTAGGGTCAGTTAAAAAATATGATGGTGGTGGCCCTCCCTGGTGGTGCAGAAGGTTAAAGCACAGCACTAGAAAGCTTAAGCCACTTCCACATGAGTTCAATCCCCGCCTGCCCTGGAGGGGACCACATGGGGCGGCAGACCTCTCCTGACCCGCCCGCTGCTCCCCTCAGCAGTGTACTTCAGTGGGTCTGCCTGTTCTGCTCCCTGCTATGTCTCTGAGGAATCCTCTCACCCTCTGCATCTCTGGCCTGTACTCCAGTTCTATATGAATAAATAAATAAATCTTTAAAAAAAATGATGGTGGAATGAAGAATGGGATCAAAAATGGGGAGGAGGGGAGAGAAGTGCCCTGGACTATGGTGATGGCACATGGGTGACTTGATGATGGGAAGCCCACAGGGATTACAATTGAGATGGAAAAAAATGTACAAAATGATGTAAAAATAAACTATTATATTATATATTTAAAAAATGAAAAAAAATATGATGGAGAGAATCTCTAAAAAACTGGGGAAGAAAAGAAATGCGACAGTTTTTCTCCCAAATAACTCATTTAGCTTTAATGAAAAGCTCTCCCAGAGAGTTAGTTCCATTTGGGGTATTAAAAAGTTTCAGAGCAATAGGTATGGTAACGGTAGTGCAGTATGGAGGATGCAACTGATGCCAAAGAACTTCACAATGAAAACAGTTATGATGATAATGTTTACTTACATTGCACATAGTTTATCACAATAAAAAACAAACAATGGAAGGATACAGCATATTATATACTTAGGGCCGTATTTTTATAAACATGCAGCACATGTCACCTATTGCAAGAAAAAAACTACCATCTCTCCCCGCAGCCAGTGCTGGGGTCCTTTCTGCCTCTCCCTCTATTCCCCCTGCCCTCCCCGGAGAGAATAATACTAGTTTGAAGTTTCAAGATCTAATAGGTGTTAATGAAGTATCCTTTTTCAGAGATGTTCTGAGAACCTTATTGCAAAAAGGGCCTGAAAAAACCTATTTTTCCAAGAGGATCCCACCCAACAGTTCCCATGCCTGTTGCCTCCAGCCCCCTTCTCCGATCCCTACCTTGCCATATTAACCCAAGACTGCTTTCTACGTTAAATTCCTGTGCAGACACCGAGCACAGGTTGTGACTGGGGATCTGACAGGCACCCTTGGCTTTCTCTGGAAGCTGATCCGCCTCCGCCTTCCTCCCTGGGGAAGCGAGGCTGTGCTGGAGGCTGAAGGCCAGCCGTCCACATCTACCTTGGGCCAGTTTCCCACAGGAGGATGGGAGGTTTGACTGACACACGGGGCTCAGGCACCTGGCACATCCGTTCTCTAGGCGCCGAGGACCTTTTCTACAGGAAGGATGTGGCAGCCACCAGGTGGCACTAGCACATCCAGAGTGACAGAGGCAGGCAGAGGTGCTCTGAGGGCTGAGGCCAACACTGAGCGAGCGACCTCTTAGGCCTGTGGTCAGTGTCAAATGCTGGGGACTGTATGAGTGCTGCAGAGGATGTGACATCTCCAGTTACTGCCAACTGTAGCCGAGGTCGTGAAGACACAGTGCTGTCAGTGAGCCTAACCTCCAACAGTGGTCCGCATGGATAATCTCATTCCAGCCCCCAAATAGCCCATAAAGACAGGTGCTATTTTCACCAGATGAGCCTCCTCTTACCCTTTCTTCACGTCTTCCATTCATTCCAGAGACTTCTCAGGGACAGCTGAGGGCTAGTCAAATGCCTTTTGTTCATGTATTTAACTTTTATCCTCTGCTACCACATAGAATAAGTCATGAAAAGGGTAAGTAGAACAGAGAGTAGTAAAGGTAGCAGCCTGTTTAGTGGAAAGAATGTGCTTTAGTGACTGACAGATTTAAAAATGAATATTGGCCCTGTATCCTACTAGCTGGGACTTCATATAAAATCCAACCTTCCTATGCCCGATGCTCAAATTTGTAAAACAAGGAGTTCTAATCTTTGCCTCATCGGATTAAGGATTCAACAAGAAAACATGGGCTACCATAGGGGCCCCCTATAATTCTTAATTTTTCTGTTCTTTCTCGGAGGAAGTAGAAATAGTATGTACGTCAGGCACCTGTGAGATGCTGTTTTTTACAGTCCTGGCTTGGATTCAAAGTTGCCTAAAGCTAAGGCAAAAGGGAACACAGAAATATTACAGAAAAAGAAACCTTGCTTTGGTCCTCTAAAATGACAGCAGCTAACTCTTCTAGGCACTTGTGAGATCCAGCACCATGTGAAGCACCTACCTCACACTTACAACCCCTTTGGCTCTCACGACACTCCTGGGTGCTATCACAATGTCCCTTTTGCAGAAGAAGAAAGTGAGACTGGAGGAGGCCAAGTAAAAACCCAAAGCAACCAAGCAGTGAAGGGACTGACACCTGAGAGGCCTAATCTCAAGCCTGTCTCTACCCTCACACCACAACACTCACACTTAACACAGTGGGCTGGCCCTTCAAACACAACAGCCGCAAATTGCTCCACCATCCCAGACAACCAGGGCTGCCCTCTGCTGGTCCCAGAGGCTTTGGCGGGCAGGAAATGCTTGGTTCCTTACACAGCACTCACCTGAACTAGATAGTCCCTAGGTAAGAGAGGGAGCCGGACATGCTCCATCAGCTTTGCCATGTGTTCTAATCGGGTTTCTTTCTCATAATTGATCCACGAAATTACAGCTTCAAACACCTATAAAGAAAATCAACACAAATACAAATACTTTTAGCAAAGAGACAATAGCTTACAGACAACTTTAACCTAAAAAAAAAGAGAGAGAGAGAGAAAGAAAACAGTTCACCCACAAAGGTGTTTAACCTCAGGTTCAAATTTATTTATTTATGCATACAGAACTGGGGTACAGGCCAGAGGTACAGGGGTGGTGAGAGGATTCACCAGAGACAGAGTGGGGAGCAGAACAGGCAGCTCAATGAGGTACACTGCTGTAAGGAGCAGTGGGCAAAACAGGAGTGGTCTGCAGCACCATACGGGTGAGTCTCAGGGGCGGGGATCGAACTTGCACTAAAGTGGCTGCAGCCAGCTTCACAGTGCTGCACTCTAACCCACTGTGCCACCAGGGAGGGCCCAAGTCCAAATTTTTAATTAAAGCAGAAACAGACTTTTTTGACTAGCTGACCTCAGAGAATTATCACACACACACACGCACACACATGCACACATATA